CTTGCTGAAAAACACCTGAATCTTAAGTTCAGGCATATTCTCAGGTGACTGGTGACAGACAACGTGGGAAATAACAAACTGATGTAGGAAGTTGGCGAAGAAGGTTCTAGGGAAGGAGTTACACAATATTTAATTTACAAAATATCACAAAATAGCTACTATGTTCCCGTATTTTTTAACAAATACCTAAATAGCAATATTGCGACATTGTCGAGTTGACTATTAGTGTTTTCTCAGAGTATTTCCAAAATGAGATTTTTGAAAAATAATCATCAGTAATGTGGATATAATGACTAAGTGCATAAAGACAGCTAAAACAGTCTGGTAAGATCAGAAAATTACAACATTTTACTGTAATGCAGCCTTTAAAACTAAGAAGAGACAACATTTATAATGTCACGATTTCCAAAATCTAAGCCAACATCTTGTTTCATATCATAATACCAATAATGTGTGAATATATTGCCCAACCCTAGCTGGAATACACTGAACATCACAGAGTAATGACACCAGCAGTAACAGTGTGGGTGGTTTTAAGAATGTCTGTTTGTTTCAAATCGTGGGCTAATCAGTTTAAAAGACTTAGGGCCAGATCTACTAAAGGTCTGCGTGTATAAAAACGTGTGCAAACTACTAACAGTGCGCACTAAGGGTTGCGTCTTTCAAAGGTGCAAAATAGCACGTCTGCATCCAGTTAGTATGTTTGCTGCAATGAATATGCAATATGGGGCATTTACACACAATTGTGCGTGTGCTGGGAGGAGAAAATGTAAATATATTAATTTAGCACATGCAAAGTGATTTATCAAACCTGAAAGCAATTTTGCTCATAGAAACTGCATCTATATTTAACACGTGTCAAAGGGAGGTGCAAACGGTTTTTATGCGTAATTGCGCACACATGGCTGCGGTTATTGTTGCAAGAAGGAGACATCAAAACGATGAAAGAAGACGTAGAGAATGCATTTTTCACCCTTGTGTGAAGCAAGCAACACGGGCTGGAGCAGAATGCCATGCTGACATACTAACACACACACACACACACACACACACACACATTGAACACGCGATTGATTAAATGAATGAACATTGGAAGCGGTTCAGCGGCAGTCCCGCCGGCTGGCGCAGTCACTGTTGAGATTACATTCGTTTTTTATTATTAACAAAATGTTTTTTTATTGACTGTATGAATGGTTTTGTTTTCAAATAAATATTTGGAAACGAAAATGTATGCTTTGGTGTACTTTTACATAGTTTTGCAATATGTATAGCAGCCTATTGTATGTATCAAAATGTGTAATTTTCAGCAGCGGTCAGAGGTATAAATGCTCAGAAGTGTAGTGTGTTTCATTTTTGTAACTTAAAGGCTTCAGAAAACATACAAGACACATCTTTAGGAAAAGTCATAGGAAGAGAAGCTTGTAGGTTTTATCTAAACAGAGTTATTTGCATTATAAAAACCCAAACAGACCGTCGTGGTGGTTCTAGTGTTAAACATAATGCTGTAGATTAGAATACGAGTGCTAGTGTGACCCAATAAACTGCAGAGCATTGCAAAGTTAAGCAAATCAACATTTACTGAAAAAAAGATGATTTAAGTCACTTTCTAGACTCCAGACATTATTAACAAACGAAATACTCAGTCTCATTAACGTCTAATTATGTTAAGCCATGCAAAATCATATTAAAGACACATTGTTTCAGTCACAAAATATATTGGGCTATAACTCTAACATTTATCGTGGCAAAAAAACTAAACTAAACAGTTCTTTATCGTATAGCCTATTTTACACAAAATGAATAATCATAGCCAATATAAGAAAACTTAAACGTGACAGTTGAGTGTATTATTTGTGTTTCCTTTTACGCATGTGGAACTTGCCCGCCGTGCGCACTTCTCCTCCCTCTCCGGTCCCTGGCTGTTGGTCACAGATTTCTTCCCATGTAGCGTAGCGTTCCTTTGTGAGAGAGTCAGGTTTCTTTGCTGTAGCTCATTTAAGTGTTTATTGGTCTCATCTACCAACACCTCTAATTCCATAGGGTCGAATTTCACTTGGCGCTTTCTCTCCAAACTCGCCATGCTGCAAACCATAAAACACGCACACCCCTCATTTAAATAGGGTGTCTCCAACACGTTTGCACCTCTTGTCATTTACGCATTCACTCTTAGTAAATCACCCGCAAACCGCGGATCAGCCCCACACGCAAAATTCTAGATTGTGCAGGCAAATTAGTACAGGCTAATTGGGATCTTAGTAGATCCGGCCCTTAATAGGTAAACATGAAATACTCTTTGGTGGTGCAATTTACACAACTGAGCTGTTAACTTGCAATTAAATTTGTTTGTATGGGAGAGAAAATTCAATATCTGATGCTGTGTTATGCCACAAAATTTTAAATCACACTCAATTTGAACATTTTTCAATATGATTAAAAATGGAAAATTTTTAAATTAAAAAAATATAAAGAACATATGAATGGTTGACTGTTTACTGGTAGTTTGCTGTTGCATTTGCTGAAAAATTGTCTGTCTACATGTTTTTTCGCACAGGCCTAAGTGGGCGACCTTTTCAGTGCACCTGCGTTTAATTAGGCGCTAATTAAGTGTCCCTAAAAGCTTGACAATCTTCGGTGGAAAACTCAAGACAGTCGGCAGTCAGCATGGGAGGCAAATGTCAACTAATGAAGAAGGAAAAACAAGCTTTTAATACTCTGAAGGAAACAGATTGTTTTTAAAGACAAATTGCCAACAGTGTCTTTCACTTGAGCTTACATTGTCCTAATGGATCTGGAAACAGGAAAGAACAGTGATCTGAAAATGACCTTGCAAGCCTACTTTGTGTTTATAAATAGAAAGTGCAATTATTTCCAATTGTAAAACAAGTTTTAAGACCAGTATGCAGCATTTTGGTTCTTACATATGCATAATTGGAGCGATTGTTGATTTTCCAGGCAATTCATTTTAATTACCGCCACCAAGGAGAAGGTTATGTGTTTGGTTTCGTTCGTCTGAGCCCTGTCAGCATGATTACAAAAAAACTACTGGCCCGATTTTCATAAAACTTGGTGGAAGGGTCTAGTATGGGTCAAGAGCGAACCCATTTATCTTTGGAACATATCTGAATCACACGATTCACAGGGCGGATACATTATTCATTTTTTCTTTCGTTAACATCGAAAGATACGGCATTTGGCCTTGGCGGAGGTTTGCGCTCTCCCAGTGCCCTTCTAGTTTTAAAATAGTTTACTTTGGTGGTCCAACTTTATAGTGGAGACATGTTGTCAGAATGATACAATTTTATTGCAAAACAGGTAGATATACAGTGCATGGCTCCCAAAATTTGAGACAAAGAAATTGCTGCCTACCAAAGGTCAAAAGATTTACCATACTTGGAAGCTTTTCTGAAGGACGCACTATATATTAGATGAGAATGAAAACGCTTAAACTCACTGTTGTCTCAACAAAAATGGTTGTAGTCTCCCAGTCCCTGTATCAACTAGGACGTTAAGCTGTTTCACTCAGTCTTGTACTGGTGTTTATTTAACAGTAAGACCATATCTGCTTGTTCACATATAAATTGCACATTCATGCTTCTTGCTGCCAAAATTTACAGATAATATTGCACTGTCTGGGGGCACAAGTAATGTCACTCCCACTTTGTGCTTTAATTTTCTGATCATTAAAATCCCTACATATAATTTTTCATTAAAATCAATATTCAGTTTTGGAGGCAGTGTTCAGTGGTTGCAGGAGAGCTATTTTACAGATGCTTTCTGTAGTTGACACAGGAGGTTAATAAAAAAGTTAAAATTGAAAATGAATTACAAATAAATAAAGTAATCAAAAAATGAAGACATTTTACAGTAGAATAAATATATCAAAAGTAGTTCTCACCCCTTCAAAAATCAACACTTTATCCTGGTGGAGGGGTTCGTGACCCTTCACGCTGTGTTGTCAAGGGCAATGGCTCCTGGTTGGGTCTACCAAGGCAAATTGGTCCTTGGGGAGGGGCCAGACTAAGAGCGATTCACAGACCCCATATGAATTGGCCAAGAAGGAGCTGCAGCACCACCCAGGAAAGGGAAATCGGGTCCCTCTCTGTGAGCTAGCTCTGGTAGGGTAGCCCATTAGTAAGTGTCTGCTAGCTGAACCTTGACCCATGGGGCCTGAAAGACCTACTCGAAGCCCCGAGATTTGACAAAGCAGCAGACTGGTACATGGAAGCTAGAGGGTTTGCAGCTCCAATGGTCGCCAAAGCAAAAACCCAGGTATGGGAGGTCTTTGGTAGGTTTATGGAGAATAACTTTTGGTTGGCCTCAAGAAAGTCCTAGCAAACTGTCATGCGACTCAGACAGGGTGACCCTGCTGACCCTGATCTGGGATATTGTTGAGCAGTGGAAGCAGCACTTTGAGGAACTCAACCAACATGAGCTCTCCAAGGTAGCTTATAAACTCCTCAGCAGTAAGGTGCCAGATGTGGATGAGGTTCACTGAAAGCTCTGGACACTGTTAGGCTGTCTTAGCTGAGAACGCTGATTCAACTTGGATGTTAGGGACAGAGCCTGCAGTATGGCAGAACAGGGTGGTGCTACCCATTTTGAAAACATAGCGCCGAAGGGTGTGCTACAACTTTTGTGACTCACGTACTGGGGCTGTTTACGGTCAGGAAGAGAAGTTATCAATTAATTTACAGTGTACTTTTTCCTTATTCATATTTTCTAGTTTTAGGGTATTTACAATTAATAAACAATTACAACACCTGAGACATAAACATAAATGTTTGAATATTTTGACAGCCAGATTTCTTGTTTATTTGATCAAAAATACATTAGCAGATGCTCTGACACCAAAGCAGGGACTGTAGGGCTTACTTTGCTTTTCAGCACCATGGACAGAGCCACGGCCAAACACCACTTCAACACATGACAGGAAGATAGAAACTTGTAGTGTCACAATATGAACATGTATGTGTGTGTCTGTGTGCATGTAGGCGTCTTACCTAGCCGTGGGTCATACTGCCTCATCTGAACTTCTTCCACATAGTCTGCCGGGAACCAGCCTGTCCTCCCTTTGACCGTGCCTTCCCAGAAACCTCCTTCCCCTATACTCAGCACTGAAAAGAGAGAAAGAATAGGGAGGGGGACTGAGTCAGTCAAATACTGTTATAAAACATGCCTAGTTTTCATTACTGTGAGGCTGTGGAGCCTGTAGAGCCTTGGAAAAGAGACGACAAAGGGCCATACAGCCAAGTGAGGTATTTAGGTTTCCATGTTGTGGGTTCATAAATTACAAGTGTGCATTGACAGCGAGGGAAGGAGGGACAAGTGAGAGGGAGAGGGAAAGATTTTTGTTTTACAAATACACACAGATGTGAAAATATTGGTCTGTAACTAATGTACTGTACCAAGGTGCTTGGGCAACATCAGCTTTATTCTCTTTCATGCCAATAAACGGGGAAAGAGAGACTGAGAGATTTAAAAGTAAAGGGAAAGACTGGAGGGAAAAGACAAAAGGAGATCAAGAAAAAAATTGAGAAAAAAAAGAGGAAGGAGAGGTGGTGAAAGAGAGCAAGAGGGCGGGCAGGAGAAAGAGAGAGATTCCTTCTAAGTTCCGCTGTGGTAATTAGAGATGAATGTATAGTTGATATTGATCTTCCCTGCAGGACTGAGCCAGCACGCTCATTTCTACAACACTCATCCATTATCCCAGCAAGCTAACAGACACACACACACACACACACACACACACACACACACACACACACTCCTCAGAGATCACCAGCTGGAACTGAAGCTTTGCCTGAGTGAGCCCTTCTTCTAAACTGGTTGCTAGGAGACGGCAGTATGATGTTGCAGCCAGCAGACAGCCTGCTAAATGATAGTCTACTTCCTCCAAACTATATTCTACTCTGGCATGGGGACATGTCACGGTGATGTAACCTGGGGCACTGTGAGAGGCAGCCAACTGGACTTCATCTTCAGTGACATGATAGTAAATGTTCAAATATCAGCCATTCACAGGATTCCTTGCTGTATCTTGTAACAAATGCATTATTTTCTCCAGGTCTTGCTGCTGAAATGTGCCCACATCTTACTTCTCCTAAAATTTAAACCATTCACATCCTGTTGAAAAGACACTCATGTCTAACAGGCTTGAGCGGGAGTGTGTTTCAGTACATTGTGTGATCAGCCGAGTTCAAATCAGCCCTGTAAGTAACAGTAATGGGGAATTATTATGCTTCTCCTTATTTTTTGAAGGATAATCATATTAAACGTGGCCAAAGTTTCATATAATGAAGTGAAAGTAATCCACGTGAGCAAAAACCTCAGGCTTCAGATCTTTGAATACTTTGTTTTCAACATTTTTTTCTACTTTGGCTACAAGCTGATGTCAGCTAATGTCAGATTTCTTAATAAGGTAATTTGCTCCAGGCACACTACATTGTGTAGCCTACACTGCTACATGTAGCTACATGCTAACATCAGGTACTGTGTGTTCCAATCCCCATACTACCATACAACATAGTATGACAGAAAAAGATTTACTATGTTCCAATACATAGTATGCCAAATGTAGTATGCCAAAAATACCAGTCCAGTCCAGTTTTGTAGTATGCAAGCCAGCATGCTTTTCTGGCTATTCTGATCCGCAATTCTTGGCACGGCAAAAGACACATTACATCAACTGTCAGAAGTCGCAATGATGGATGACAGTGCATTCAGGTGACCAGTCAATTCATAATATAGGAATAGTTATTGTTTAATTGAGTAATATAATCATAAATATAACCAACAACAAAGGGCATACGTATTAGATAACAATGACAGAGAAATGTATAGCCTCTGTAATTTTATTATCGTGAATATGATATGTTAGAATCTACGATGTATGCAGTCATAACTTGTTGTGAAATAACAGCATCAGAGCTTGGTGAACAGCATTTTGTTTTAACTTCATGGCAGCAGATATATGAGCAAGAGGGTCAAAGCTCAGGGTGTCACATTATGAGGAAATAGTATGTTCTGATTGATGTTCTATTGAAAATAGTATGTTCTGATGCAACGGTACGTACTTTTTAGGGGAAGTTGCAGTAGAAAAAGTATGTAATTCGGAAACAACCCGTAAACTTGTTTGCTGACGTTGTTAATTTTTCCCTGATTTTGGATCGTATACCTGTTCCAAAATGTACAGTTGTGTTTAGAAGCTTTTATTGGTGATTTTTCATGATAGACAGTGCCACTATTCTCCATTACATTTACTCTGCGTCTCTGCAATAATGGCGCAGAGACGCCAAGATGTGGTAGTAATCAGAGCAGTCTGGGCTTTTATGCAAGGGCGGCTTAAAGAGACAGGTGCTAAAATGGAGCGTTCTCAAACAGAGGGTAAATACAGATGTTCCATTACCATTACACCACTAAAGCATGTAAATATGTTCTAGTAGAAACTCGAAATACAAGTATGAACCAGAGAGATAAACATAAAAGGAATTCTTTAAGCGTACAGTATTAATCTATCTCAATGCGTGCTACATGCTAAAAATCTCTTAGTGACACAATGGTACTAAAAGAAAACAACTCACCACAATTGCTATGTACAAGTTGGTCTGTGTACATGCTCATTATTTTTTCAATGCTTGTGGATTGGGGTTGCACTCCCAGCTAAACCCCCCATAGCTCACCTCTCTGCCAGGCTAAACACACACTAGCTAATAGAGAGGTGGTGCGTGAAAGGGGAGAACGGCTGTTTATCGACTTCCCGCTGTAAAAAACATGACACTCAGCACACAGAGGATACATGGACTGATCCCCCTCTCTGATCTCAGCTTAACACAACTTTACCCTGCCGTCTCCTGAGAACAGACTCCCTCTGTCTCCTTTTTTTTCCATGTTTAAACCCTTTATTCTCTCACTGTCTCTCTTTCTCTCTGCTCTGCACGTCTTTCTCTCCCGGTCCCCTTCACTGTGTTTCTGAATGATTTCTCGGTCATCGCCTCCATCCCTCTCTTTGTCTTTGTCAGTGTGTCCATCTATACTGTAATGGTGTCCCTGCAGTAGACAGGTGCCGGCTGTGCTCTCTGTTCCCCATTGACAGAAATGAAAGAAAAGGTGAGCCCTCTGATTGATCTTCTGGGCCGCCCTCGCTCACTTCCCTCACTGCCTTATCCCCCCGCTACTAATCCATTTCTGGTCCCTGACACCAGCACCCGACTATATGGACAGAATCGACCGCTGAGTATGTAAGAATGCAAGCAGAAGTCACTGTTTCACACATCTAAAATATCTATGTACACCTTTATAACTTCCTGTTCTTGTTCCTCCACACATACGTATGTGAGGTACATACAAACACCCTCTTTAATTATCTTTAAACACACCGCAGGCACTCTAAATGCTGAAATCAAGCCAATTAACTGTCAGTGAAGTCAAGGAAAGGTCAGTGAAACATGCACATACACACACACTAGCGCAGAAGTATTTTAATACATAACATGCTTGATAATCCTCACAATGCCCTCAGCAGTTGATAGCAGAGACTCTGCATAAACACACAAAGAAAATAATAATCAAAATTTCACTGCCACTCTAACACTCTTAATAAGGTCTTAATCAAAACAGCTAGGGTTATTATTTTGGCTAAATTACAGTGTTGAGTGATACCGTATATTTATAGCAATCTGTTTCTACAGATCCAGATGGGCTCGACTCTATATCTGGCGCAAACAGACATAACAGCCAAGTGCATGTATAGTACATGTCCACACAACAAAAACACATGCATCTACAGTGTGTATGCCCTTACATGTACTTAGAGAGTTCCCCGCTGTGTCAGTAGCCTCTACCTTACACCGCCACTCTGTTTTGGTGCTTGCCAACACTGCGTTGGCATGACAACTGTCCCTGTGAATCAAATGTGGGCTTGCAGGAGCCAAGTGGCAGGAAGGAACTCAAACAGTGCATGTCTGTGCAGGAGGATTTACAATATGTGTGTCGTGTTGATGTTTTCGTCCAACCAGACCGCTTTGGGACCACTGCCATGTGGAGAGCTACAGTTGTAGGTAGTAGTGGGAAAATGCCTGCCAACAGTAAAGGCAGTCCATAATATGTCACAACTGTTACAAGACAAATTAAGTGGAAAAAATATATATTTATATATATATATTTTTTCTATTAATGGTCCTGCTGGTCTCCATACTGGATCATTTTACCACAAAGAGCTGGTGTCAATGTGTGACATTTTGCATTCATCACTTTAAAAACACTATATTTCCTCATATTGTCTGTGCTGGTGCAACTGTCTTCACCCTCTGTCTGAGAGGCTCTATTTTAGCACCTGTCTCTTAAAGCCCTCCTGCAAAAGCCCAGTCTGCTCTGATTGTTTCCGGGTCCTCTGTATCTCTACGTCTCTGCAGCCTCATTGCAGCCGGGGGAATGCTATAACAGAGAAAAGCGGCACTTTTGACCATGAAAAATCAATAACCAACCAACCAACCAATAAAAGCTTCTAAACACAACCAGACATGTTCCAGCAAGAACATGATTTGAAATTAGGGAGAAATTAATAACATAGGCAACCAAGATTCTCTGACGTTAGCATGTAGCACAGTAGGGGACGGAATGTAAATACTTGAGAGCAGCTGACCATATTAAAAGAAAACAAACTGTCACGAGCTGATGACGTCTTATATATAAAAAACTGCTGGAAACAAACTATCAAGATCAGTCTGAAGCCTGAGGTTTTGGCTCACAGGGATTACTTCTACATACCTTTACCTTATTATTCAAAACTTTGGCCACCTTTAATATGAACATTAAATATTGTAACTTCATATATATATGACAGAAAATAAGAAAAAGTATATTAAGTCCCCTTTAAGATAACTGCAAGTTTGCAAAAACATTGCAAAGCAGTCACTCCTTAGCTTTGATTGAAATGCATTTAAGAAAGTGCAGACTGAGGTTTCTAACTGGCAGCAGTCTGCAACCACTGGTGACTTCAAACAAGTATGTTCACTCAATCACTCTGAGGAATGTTTTTAGGTCAGATTCTATGATAATAATAATAATGGTATTTCTAGCTAAAGGGTGGAAAGATCACTGGTCAATAAGTCAGAGT